AATTGGACTCTACTTTGGCCAAGATTTCAGAATCTCTAAAGATAGAATATTCCTAAACACAAATATAATATAAATAAAATTTTTGATTATTACAATAAAGTCCAATCTTTTAAAGACAAAATATTTTCATACCTCGTCTTCAACTTTAAGGGTACTCCCACCGTACGATGGAAGGATTACACGATCTCCAGGCTTTACTTGATTTGGAATATGTTTTCCCTCCTTTCGTATGAATATCATACGCGATAAATATTACGTGTCAACGATTTAAATATATTTAATTTCATTTGATATATCTTTACTACACCATGACATTTCATTATTCACATTACCTTATCAAGTGCACCTTTATCTACTGCTATAACTTCTCCTTCATTCAGTGATTCTAGTGATTTTTCAGGAATCAGAATACCAGCAGCAGTTTTCTAATAAATATATCTAAATTTTGAGTTTATTCTGAAGTTTAATGTATTAAACAATTTATTATAGCTTACTTAGCTTACTTGTTGCGGTTTAATGCGTTGCACGAGTACGCGATCAAGAAGGGGAACAATAGACTTAACATTTTTAACGATAGTATGCTTTTTTTTTGTAAAAAAAAAAAAAAGAGAGAGAGAAGTTTCAGCACGCTGTTACTAATAAAGTTTTAAATCAAAGAAAAAATTAACGCGTGCCATTGTCTTTTTTTTAAAAATATACTTAAGAAACGATCCAGTTAATTAGAGTTTGTTGGATATGATAAAAATTTTTTTATATGTAGATGAATCAGATCTCTATATGGGTTTTTTTTTTCATGAATCACTGATAATCACTGATGAAATATATTTCAATAAATTTTTTTTTATAATTCATGGAAAGTAAAAGAAATTTTTAGAAAGATCAACAATAAAAAAAAAAAAAAAATCGTAGAAGACCTTCTACATTTTTCCATCTGAATCATCGTGATTGTTTCAGATTAATGGATACGTAGAATTCGATGGAAAAATCTAAAAAATCCTTATCACTGGCCAATTAAATTAATTAAATTCAAATTTATCTTAAAAAATTTTTCATTGCATTGCTTCTTTTTTAACAATTAACGAGATTTTTTTCAATTGTCGATATTTTTTATTTGAACTTATTATATAATCTTTACGTGATGCTGCGCGTTTCAATTAAAAAGTCTCAAACTGCTCATGTTCCAACATGTCTTACAGCATTATCCAAAAGTTCTCGAACGCCAGTACTATTACGATATTATTCAACTCATAAAGAGCTTAAATTTGGTATTGAAGGGAGAGCTTCTTTAGTACAAGGTGTTGAACTTCTTTCAAGGGCAGTCGCGGTTACACTTGGTCCTAAAGGGCGTAACGTGTTGATTGAACAACCTTATGGTAGTCCGAAAATAACAAAGGACGGTGTCACGGTTGCAAAAAGTATAACACTTAAAGATAAGTTTGAAAATCTTGGTGCTAGGTAAAGGAAATGACGTTTATATTTATTATTATATAAAATAATTTAACGTGTTAAGGTTAAAAATTCCGCGTTTATCATTTAATATAAATAATACATATAATTTTATTATTAAACCTATCTATCGGTCATATATGATTCTATAATAATTTACGCGTAATTATTTCATTATATTCATTATATTGATAGATTGGTTCAAGATGTTGCAAATAAAACAAATGAAGTTGCTGGTGATGGTACAACTACCGCTACTGTTCTTACTCGCGCTATTTTTGTTGAAGGTGTGAAAAATGTTGCTGCAGGTTGTAATCCAATGGATCTTCGTCGTGGTGTTCAATTAGCCGTGGATGCAATTGTTCAATTTCTAAGGGATCACAGTCGAGTGATTACTACAAGTGAAGAGATCGCTCAAGTATTTTATCCTTATCTTTATATTAATTTATATTAATTTATTTATCAAACTTTCTGTTTAATTTTTTTATAAATTTTATATATATTTATATTTTATAGGTTGCAACAATATCCGCAAATGGTGATACTCATGTTGGTAAACTTATTGCTAATGCTATGGAAAAAGTTGGAAAAGAAGGTGTGATCACAGTAAAAGAAGGAAAAACAATTGAAGATGAATTAGAAATAACTGAGGGCATGAGATTTGATCGTGGATATATTTCTCCTTATTTCATAACTGATACTAAAACTCAAAAAGTTGAATTTGAAAAACCTCTTATTCTTCTCTCTGAAAAGAAAATTTCGGTTTTACAAGATATTCTTCCAAGTTTGGAAGCTGCTGCTCAACAACGTAGACCTCTTCTTATTATTTCTGAAGATGTTGATGGTGAAGCTTTGGCTGCTTGCATATTGAATAAACTTCGTGGAAATCTTCAAGTTGTTGCCGTTAAAGCTCCAGGTTTTGGTGATAATCGTAAATCTATTTTAGGTGATCTGGCTATTTTGACCGGTGGTACTGTTTTCTCGGATGATTTGGATATAAAATTGGAACGGGCTACTCCAGAACATTATGGTTCTACTGGTTCTGTAACTATTACTAAAGAAGATACCATTCTTCTTAATGGTGAAGGTTCTAAAGAAAATATTAATCAACGTTGTGATCAAATTCGTGCTGCTATTAATGATCCTACTGTTTCGGATTACGAAAAAGAAAAATTACAAGAAAGACTTGCAAAATTATCGGGTGGGGTTGCTGTTATTCGTGTAGGTGGTTCTTCAGAAGTTGAAGTCAATGAAAAAAAAGATCGTTTTGTTGATGCTTTGAATGCAACACGTGCTGCTGTTGAGGAAGGAATTGTGCCTGGTGGTGGTGTAGCCCTTTTGAAATCTATCAAATGTTTAGAGTCCTTAAAACCCAAGAATTTTGATCAACAATTAGGCGTAAATATCATAAAAACTGCTCTTCAAAAACCTGCAAAAACTATTGTCGATAATGCTGGTGAAGAAGGTTCTGTGGTTGTGGGTAAACTAATAGACGATCATGGTGATAATTTCAATTATGGTTATGATTCTGCCACTAGTCAATATGGTGATATGATTGCACGTGGTATTGTGGATCCATTAAAAGTTGTAAGAACTGCTCTTGTTGATGCCTCTGGTGTTGCAAGTTTACTAACAACAACAGAATGCATGATTACTGATGCACCTGGTTTGTAAAATCCCTACTTTCTTTATGGTTTTAAATCCTAAACTTTATATAACGAGTTTAATCCATAATTTATTTGATTTGTAGATGAAAACAAAGGTGCTGGTCTCGGTGCTGGTGCTGGTGGTATGGGTGGCATGGGAGGGATGGGAATGATGTGATAGAAAAAAAAAATTCAGATAACATGTAAAATAAAACATAAATTCATTTCATATTAAAAAAAAAAACCTCATTCTCAATCTCTGACTTTAATTAAAAAGATGATCTTTTATTAAAAAAAAAGTATTTCAATATTTCAATTTATTTTATAATATTCTATCTGAAATAAATCAAATTTAAATTTAACGGTAGAAAAATAGATTTATAAATGGCATAAGAAAAACTGGTAAAAATCGTTTATTGCAAATTTTAATGATAATATAAATTAGTTTAAAGTAGATTAAAACCAAATTTTCATCATAATATACAAAATAAACAAATGAATCGAATAGTTACAAATTATTTTTCTAGATAAAAATATAGATTGATAAATAGGTTTATCAAGATTTTCGTATTATACAGTTAATATCACTAATAATACTAAAATGAATATAATATGTCTACGATCACTTAGTCCCAACCTGAAAGTAAAATGTTAAAAAAAAAAAAATTTAACCCTTTGGTTTCGAAATAGTAGTATCGTATACCCGGATAAGACGTGCTTCTTGACCAGATTCGTTTTGAGAAAACGCAAAACCACGACTTTTTCGTAAGCGTTGTACTGCACGGACTTTTCGTATCGCTTTTTGGAATTGTTCCGCACGTGGACGATAATCTGGTATATTGAATTTTTGAATTTCTTGTATAGTATGATATGTTCTTGAACGGTACATGCGTTTTACACTAATTAAACAAACAATAAATATTAGTAATTAAATATCTCCATCTAAGACATTGTTTTTTATGAAAAATAAAATATATGAATAATAAAACTTACTATTTCCATACGTAGTCTCGCATTAAACATATAACTGGAACCAACAAGACGAATAAATAAAATATGGGGCTTGTGAACAATCTAGGAATAACTCCATCATATTCTTCCGAGACTCTAAATCTTGGTGCAACCAAGCCATAAACAAAAATAAAGACCATCCAAAAAACAAATGATCCAGGAATAGCAATATATGTGTATTTCGTCCATAGGCTATGTACATAAATAATAAATTAATAATAAATTAATAACATCAATAGAAATGACTTAATAATTGAAAAATTTTGTACATACTCCGTTATTAATGCAGCTTTTCCTAAAACGGTTGCTAAAACTGCAGTGTACAGTGCCGTGCCCCAAAACCAATGACCTGCCACTTGTCCATTTGTTAAAATCAAGTCATTATAAAAAATGTATATTGATACCCAATACAAAATCTAAAAAAGAACAATGTTAATTACAAGATTAAGGAAAAATAGAATAAAGTTTATATAAATCTTACCAGTGAATGAAAAAAGGCATTGAACGCCCATCCCCAGAAATTTTTGACATTAAACTGTAAAAAAATCATAACGATCAACAAAAAAAAAAAAGTTGACATAAAATCATGTTGACATAAAACAAAAATTACACACGAATTCACTCTTTTGTCCTAGTGCGTACAGTTGAGGATACCGATCCAACATTCTTGCGCTTACGAATTGATCAAACACACCCATAACTATCGGTGGTAATACAGTAAATAGAACGTTGTAATATGTGATAGTCCAGGACTCGTATATTACTTGACCAGAAAATCCATTATGGAATGCGTACTTTTAAACATAATAATTTTAAATATAATTGATATATTGATATATAAATTGATATATAAATTGATAAATAATTTATATGATGCTGATAAGCAAAATATATACATTAGGCGACTTACCCAAAATTGAGTCATATACAATGTTATATTTTTATAGAATGAATATAAAATCAATTTACTTAATCGTTGATAACTCCATGCACCATGAACTAGTAGTAGTTTTTTTAAGTATCTAAATTGACTGATTGCTACATCAGCACTACGAGCTGCTTGCATTCCTTCAAGACCACTAATTCCAACACCAACATGAGCTGCTTGAATCATTGGAACGTCATTTGCACCATCACCAATGGCTAAAAGAATGGCTTTAAGATGACGTTTCACTAGTTTTACAACAAGTGCTTTTTGGAGTGGGGACACTCTGCAGCAAATAACTGCTTTGCACATAGTTGCAAGCTCAAGGAAAACTCCTTCAATTTCCTTGTCAAGAGCAAATTCAAGTGTACGACCGTCTATAACAAGAGCTAGAGGCTACATTTACGTATATTCCCGTTATTTACGTGATTAAAATGATCTAAAAAATCAAAGTTTATTGATTATAAACTTACTTCAACATCCGGATTAACCCGACCTTTAAGCGATTGAATTCTTTTCTCTAAAAAGTCTTTTGTTTTCCAATGACTGTCTTCATTCACAGTGATCAAAGTCATTTCCTCATTAATTAATTTGCAACTAAGTCCAATATTTATAGCAGTTTCTTGCCTATCACCAGTAAGGACCCAAATTTTAATCCCAGCTTGTTGAAGTGTATGAATTGTTTCTGGAACACCCTCCTGTAATTTATCCTCAATTGCGGTAGCACCCAAAAGAAATAGATTTTTTTCAATCATTTCTGCAGCTTTGTCAAGTTCATCTTGACGGTTTACCAAAGTTGTAGATGCTTTTTCGTATATAGTAGACCAATGTCGGTATTCTTCATCAGAAATTTCACGCATTGCGATACAAAGAGTTCTGAGACCTTCAGTTGCATAGTCTTCAAGGTGTTGTACTGTTTGATCTGTAAATGGATTATTTTCACTCAAACGTTCCAAAATTACAGTATCAGCTCCTTTACAATATAATTTTATTTTTCCATCCGGACCACGAACAACTGTAGACATACGTTTACGTGTGCTGTTGAATTCACAAATACTAAGAATTTCGTATTCGTAATCAGCACCATTAACTCGTATATTTACAGATTTGGGGCGACGAGTCTATTAAAATAAATAAACTAATCTATAAACCGATTTAAACCAATTATATATGATAAATAATTTATAAATTACCGTGAATTCATAATCCAGAGTCGCAGCACCTTTAACAAGCGCACCTTCATCTGGAGATGAAGCCTGATACATTATATCTTAAAAAAGCCAATGGAGATATTAAATGATGAAATATATTAAAATGCAATAACAATAATATGTAAATATATATCAAAAGCTTACTGTTTGGATTGTCATCTTTGCGTTCAGGAATAACAGTATGACATATAGATAGGAGTGACAAGAATTCATTGATTACATTTCCAGTTGGATGAGTCCTTATATTTTCTTTTAATTGTTTAAAATCATGTGATCCGACTTCAACACCATCAACCACACGGGCACGCTTGGACTCTTCAACTTTATCAGCATACGCTATTCCAGCTATACTACATTGTTTAAACTCCATCTCATTACAAGTAAGAGTACCAGTTTTATCAGAAAAAATATACTCAATCTATAAAAATATAAAGGGAAGCAAATAAATAAAAATAAATAAATAAATATAAATAAATAAAAATATATGATTTAATCAGCCATACACATTACCTGACCCAATTCCTCAACCAAACTGCTAGTTCTACACAAAGCAGGGGTATCAGTCTTTTCATAATACATATCTAAATCGTCATTAATTAATAAAGCTTGTTGAAATTTGACGACTTCCATTGTGACAATCAAACTATATTAGAAAAGACAAGAAATGAGAAATCTAATTGCAACTAGTAAATTAAATATTGATATATATATATTGTAAGTTGGAATGGAATTTTAAGTGGATTTGGAATTTCTTAATATAATTATTTTTGGGTAGAATTTATTCTGTATAAACCTATAACCTAACCCCAAAATCCTAAAAAATTCCAAATCCACTTAAACTCCGTTCCCACTTACAACATATATATATATATAGAAATATAATTACCTGATTGGAATTAAATTATTAAACAAAATTATGAACGTCAAAATATTAAAAAGAAATTGAATGATAAGATTATTATTATTTGCAGAGAGTGGTATATATTGCATTTCACCGCTATATCTCCACTATATCAATAAAATTATATATATATTGTAAATTTAAATTAAAAAATTTTTTTTTTATAAAGAAATTTCGTGTAATGGATTAAATTTATAAAATAGATTAAATAAGGTTTCATACTTACAGTTCTTACAGCACTTCCTATTGAACACGCTAGACTCATTGCCAAAAGAATACCAAATAAGAAAATAATTTGGATATTGACCATTTTTTCTACACTAGTTCTTTTGATAGGAGTTGCTCTAAATAGATAGATAAAAACCAATAAATCAGGTATAAAATGAATTAATATAATTTAAAATAAATAACAGTTAATAATACAAACGTGGCATTTTTCATGAGTTTTGTCTCGTGGCCTGTAAAAACAACAATACCATAAATCCATGATGTATTCCTCAATTGTGCACCCTATAATTAAAAATGAAGTAAAATTGATAATATATTGATATTATATAAAGAGAACCGAAAAAATATATGAATTGCAAACGATATAGGATATAGGGATACACACCCTAAGAAGTAATTGTGTTGGATCCAAAGGAACTTGCTTTTGACCATTTGGAGTATTCATCACGAGTAAACCGTCATATGTGTATAAGCTATCATTGGGTTTTTCAGATTTAATATATCCAGTCAAACGACTAGTTTCTAATGGATTAGTTAAGTGTGATGTATCGCTTGTAGCTTGCTTGATTTTTAGATTTGTTTCTCTAAAATAAAATTAAATTTTTTGCAATCCATGGTTTAAATAATTATCGTAATTAATAATGATACTTTAGCTTCTATTGCATAAAAATGAATAACCTTTAATTATAAATATAATATAATTAAAGTATAATTATATAAGTATAATTATAAGTATAATTATAAGTATAATTATAATTACAATTATAATTACAATTATAATTACAATTATAATTACAATTATAATTATAATTATAAATATGATGGGTAAACTAACCCGTCCAAGTTGCTTGTCTCTATGTAACATAGCCCTTCAGGTTCAGAACTACTAAGCAGTATTAAATCAGCAGGAAAAAATTCACCGCTTTCAACACGAACAATGTCACCAACGTTTACTCGCTTCCATTCCTTTGCTAAAAATTTCTCTCCGTTAATATCAAGATATCTACATTCTCTTTGATTTACTTCTGAATCAGAACGAGCCCGTTTCTTAACAAACAAAAAAATCAGCAGGATGACCCTTTTTATCAAAAAAGTAAAAAAAACCCACCACTTACATAATCTTCCAAGATTTCTTTACATGCGGTAGCAGCCAATACGACCATTAAAGTACCAAGTGTAGTGTATTGATTTGTTGGTGATACATCTTTAATTTGCTATTAATAAAATAAAAAAATTTTTTTAGATATATATATATATATATATATATATATTCAAAATATCTAGTTACTGTCGCCGATATAGTAATAAATAATAAATAATAATAATGATAGGCTAATTAATTTCTACTAAAACTTTCCGTGGGGAGGAATCGAATAATTCGAACAATCAAATTCAGTCCATTGAAATAGTCCAGTGAATTTAGCCCACTGAATTATAATTAAAATATTTTTACTATACCTGAATACAAGCTAAAAATTAAAAAAAAAAAAAAAATTTCACAAAATTCGTGAATTCGTGACAGTTTTATTAAATAGGTTAAAACATAATTACTAATAATTATTAATTACCAGTGAATAAGAAAAACATATTTGCATATTTTGAAAATTGTTCGTATAAAAATTTTGGTAAAAATGTGAAAAAATTATATTTAGTTGTTGAAATTTTATTATGCAGAAATTTTTGTTGAGAGTTTTTGGCCGGGGCATTAACATAAATTGTTCGCTCTCCATTATGGCTGGGAAGATCAGACGTTTCAGTTTTACTATCGGAAGTAAGTGGAAGGTTTGCTTCTGAATAGGACATGTTTGTAATCTGTCGCATAAGCCCTGCTGAGTCGGAATAAAAGTCCTGCTCTTCGTCGTCCTCAAAAGGATCGTTGAAATAAGGGTCGAAAGAAGTATGGTCACCCTGAGACAAGTTAGGTCTAAAAGATGGTATAGCAGCAGCTTGTGGGACTGACGGATTGTCAGTATATTGGGAAGTTTCGACGGTTGCTGAGTCGTCGAAAGGGTCAATAGGATTTGAAGGTTGTTGACTCAGAGGAAAGTTGTTACCAGACATTCTGCGTTTTGCAGAATAAAAAGGTCGAGGATTAAGTTTGTTGTGCAGAAAATTCGATGATGTCACAACATAATGATCGAATTAGAAGAAACATAAACATGTTTCATAATATTACGAGTCAATCACTTGAATATTAATTTGTATAAGGAAATAATAGCCAATATAGCCAATAGTGATACATACGGATTGACTATGAAGAGAAGACTATCAACCCAAGCCACTTATCAATCATGTTATAACATGTAAGACTAAATATAAATAGAATGTACAATGTTACCCATTGTGTATCAGTTCTAAACAGAAATACGTAGATGTTGACGAAAACGAGTATATAACGATGGGTCTCTACCAATATCACGATAATTCATATAATTAATTAATTTTAATATAATAAATGGTGATTTACAACTTACAACATCTGATACACATATCGATATAGAAAATTGGCAATTATTTACATATCGTTATCTATTATGTATATCGATATCTATATCGGTATCAGTATATGCTTGATAAATTGAGACCCGTATAAATAAAAATATTATTTTTGTTATTATTCTTTAGTAAAGCTAATTTATATAATATTTTTACTGATCAATTAATACTGTATGATATAAACCAACCAATTCATAGTTAGTGTTGGCTAGAGGTCGGCGAAATAGTTGTTGAATTTTACCAAAACCGTCTTTTTAAAGGTTTCCCAAATTTGACCTGGTCAGGTTATAACGATAAAACCAATTATATAATTAATAACTAAGAACCCCGGATAATTATATATGAGGTTATATTTGGGCATAGTGATAGTATAAATTTTTTTTTTTTTTTATTGACGCGTGTTATCCATATCTCAAATACGTATAAGGCCTCGATATCTGATATTGTTTATCGCGGAAATTTTCGTAAGTTTAAGTTTGCTCCCAAAATTTTTCAGACCATGCTCGTCTTTTACGTTCGTTGATATTCTATTTTCCAAAAATAAATTTCCGGTATTGACATAGCTTTTAATTAGCATATCTCAAATATAAAACCTTTTCATTAAAAAAAATTTAAATATAACCTCTCCATTGATTATCAACTTTAAAATAACCTTCACGCCCAATATCTACTTTTCAAATATAATCCGAAAAAAAGATGATATTATCGGGGGTCCTATTAATTATAATTAATTAATTTGTATTTGATAGATACGTACGTACAGTATATATATTGTATTAAGCAAATACAGTTAGACCTTTCTATAGTCACCTTCTCTATAATCACATTTGTTTATAATTACAAATTTTTAAAACCAACTTATATAGCACTTATAAAATGTAATCTTTATATATATAGGCACAAACTCTCTATAAGTACCAAATTCTTAAAACCAAGGGTGTGGTTATAAAGAGATTGACTATATACTGTAAAAATAATAGTAATTACTATATAAAACTTTAAATTATTATAATTTTTTTAAAAACTACACAGTATATTTTTGTTATAGTGAAAAATTTTTGTTTATTTTTTGTTTTAAAAAGTTATAAGTATTTAATTAACCAATAAATTTTAACTATATTTAAAAAATTAGTCAAAATTAATTATATAAATAACAAAAATTGAAGTTTTATGGTATAAATTAGATGTTTTTACTATTTAATTTAATTAAAAAATAAATAAATATTAATTATTTAATTATATATTATTTAGTTTTATATTTATAAAAAATTAAATTTTTTTAAA